TTGTTCTGTCACAATTAAACACTTGTTCAGGTTTCAGTCCTTCACTGTCTATGTACTCCTTGAATTCCTGCACATATTTTTCAGCTGCTTTGTGGTCCGAACTGGCAGCCTCACCATGCCTTATCACACTATGTATGCCACTACGCTTCTTAAATCTCTCAAACCAACCTTTGCTGGCCTTAAATTCATTCACATCATCACTAGTTGCAGGCATTTTTCTAATTAAATCCTGATGCAACTTCCTAGCCTTTTCACTTATGATCGCTTGAGAGATGCTATCTCCTGCTATCTGTTTTTCGTTTATCCACACCAATAAGTCTCTCTCAACATCTTCTATCGCTTGTGATCTCTGTTTCGAAAACACAGTTGCACCTTTGGCAAGAACAGCTTCCTTGATTGCCGTTTTCTTGGACACAATAGTAGTGATGGTTGATTGGGGTTTACTATACAACCTGGCCAGCTCGGAGACACGTACTCCACTTTCATACTTAACAATGATCTCTTTCTTCATTAATTCTCACCCTTATTCCTGTAGGGTTGGCACTAGAAGCTTTCTTGGGGCACATGGTCACTTATTTTGCAGATGAAATCACCAAAAACGCTGTAATAATACGAAATGTTCCGATTGTATGCTTTGATGTTACCGCGGAGGCTGGCTTGTAAACAATGCCACCGGCGGAACATGTGAGGCTGGCTCAGGCCGCACACAGACGCGTCTCGGACGAATAGCGTTGAGCGAGTTTTTTAGCGCTATGCGAGGCAAAATTTTAGCGATAAAATGTATCGTTATGCGGATTTAACGTTATGATGCCAACGTTATGCGAGGGCCCAATGTACTTGCAACATCTGCCACACTGCTCACCTATCCACTCTATCATATGCCTTTTCTAAATCCATACATGCAATAAAAACTTCCCTACATTTATCTAGATACTGTTTACATATGTGCTTCAATGTAATCACATGATCTACACATCCCCTACCCACTCTAAAACCTCCTTGCTCATCTGCAATCCTACATTTTTTATCTTACCTCTAATTCTTTCAATAATAACCCTACCGTACACTTTTCCTGGTATACTCAGTAAACTAATTCCTCTATAATTTTTACGATCTCTTTTGTCCCCCTTCCCTTTATATAAAGGGACTATACAATCCCTAGGTACCTTCCCCTCTTTCATACATTTATTAAACAAAAATACCAACCACTCCAACACTATATCCCCCCCTGCTTTTAACATTTCTGTCATGATCCCGTCAGTTCCAGCTGTTTTACAACCTTTCATTCTACGTAATGCCTCACGCACCTCCCCCACACTTACATCCTGCTCTTCTTTACTCCTAAAAGATGGTATACCTCCCTGTCCAGTGCATGAAATTACCGCCTCCCTTTCTTCATCGACATTTAAAAGTTCCTCAAAGCATTCTCGCCATCTACCCAATACTTCCATCTCCCCATCTACTAACTCTCCTACTCTGTTTTTAACTGACAAATCCATTTGTTCCCTAGGCTTTCTTAACTTGTTTAACTCGCTCCAAATTTTTTTCTTATTTTCATTAAAATTTCTTGACAGTGCCTCTCCCACTCTATCATCTGCTTTCCTTCTGCACTATCTCACCACTCTTTTCACCTTTCTTTTACTCTCCATATACTCTGCTCTTCTTATAACACTTCTGATTTGTAAAAACCTTTCATAAGCTACCTTTTTCTCTTTTATCACACCCTTTACTTCATCATTCCACCAATCACTTCTCTTTCCTCCTGCACCCACCCTCCTATAACTACAAACTTCTGCCCACACTCTAATACTGCATTTTAAAAACTATTCCAACCCTCTTCAACCCCCCCCCCCCCACTACTCATACTTGCACCAGCCCACCTTTCTGCCAATAGTTGCTTATATTATTATTATTATATACTCCCATGTATCCAAAACACTGCTGGGACCTATAAGTACTTTGTATATATTTCTAGACAATAGTAAATGACGAAGGCAGGTGTAAATGTCCACCTGTCGCTGTATCTGTGACAATTTGAGTACAATTTCAATTTCAGTATCTAATATTAGTGTCAGAACAAAGATTTATTATGAAATGACAAGTACTACTATAAATTGTAATTATCAGAACATAAAAATTATATAAAATATAAAAATGAGGGAAAAAAGGTATACTGGGAACACTTCTGCAAGCCGCAGGACTCCATAAGGTGAGCATTAAGTGCCAACTTCGCAGCCTCATATCTCGGTAAGTAGTGGCCCTAATTTTTTCATTTTAATTCTATAACATTTAGAAAAATGTTCTCTATTTCAAATTTTTTTTTTTTAAATGTTCGGGGCACTGGGCGAGAGAACATGACCCATTCTGTGCTGACCAGGCATCTCAGGCCAAATTTGGAGGCAGGAAAAATAAAACGTTGATCTATGTTCAGAGTGCTAGTGGTAACATATATATATGATAGAAGCAGAAGAGACTTGAAGACGACGTAATCAGTCCATCACCCTTAAAGTTTTGAGGTGGTCAGTCCCTCAGTCTGGAGAAGAGCATTGTTTCAGACTATGAAACAATGCTCTTCTCCAGACTGAGGGACTGACCACCTCAAAACTTGAAGGGTGATGGACTGATTACATTGTCTTCAACATATATATATATACACGTTTGGACTGTTTACAACTAGTTAATACACTTGAAATTTTGGAAAGTTTCCAGACATAATACAGAGATGTGCTCACAGAGAATGTAAACAAACCAGGTGGCATGCACTCTATTAGAAAGACAGGTTGATTCATAGCAAGTTTTGGTCATAATTTGAAATCGCCGTATTAGCAAAACACTGTAAAGCAGGGCCCTACTGTACTGTAAAGTACTACACCTACCATCCGACTTACGACCTGCTCGACATATAACCACTCGACTTATGACCATGTTTTTTATGCCAAATTTCTGGGAAATAAACAACTGTGTGTTGTACATAGTATTTATCCTAAACCTTACAGTATAAAATACAGAACTAACAGCATAAAAAGTAAAGTAAAAAATGAAATACCAAAATAAAACGATAAAATAAAGTCATTACAAAAATGTGATGTTGATATTCAGTAGTAAAGTTCGACTTACGTCCATTTTGACTTATGACTGGTTGGTCGGAACCAAGCCTGGTCATAAGTCGGATGGTAGGTGTATGTAGTAAGACTTTTTGGTAAAATCAGTTAATAACTTAGTATTACCACACTTGGGAAGTAATAATTCAGTGAGGTGAGGGAGAAGAAGGCAATACACTCTTTACCCACTACCATATACAGTATTATCAGTACATTTATACTACCTCATGCTTTACTTGCAAAGAAAGAACCTGGCATTCAAGATTCTCCTCACTTATGATAATTCCTGTACTCGTCTAGAACTTTCAGTGGATGTGCATCCACACTTAAAAGTTGTGTTTTTACCACCGAGTACAACTTCTTTAATACAACCACTGGATCATGGAATTATTAGGACCTTTAAGCGTAACTGCATATGAAAAGTGATATGCAAACTTGTTGCAGCAATGGATGCTGACTCAGACCTTGACATGCCAGATTTTTGGCATAAATTTAACATAGCAGATGCATCAATTACATCAAAACTGCATGGAATGAAATGCCCCAAATCAACATTAGCTGCAGGCTGGGGAAAATTATGGCCTAGTGTGATGAATAATTTCACAGGTTGTGAGCTAGGTGCAGGAAATTGTTCAGTTGCCAAGGGCTCTGAAGATATGCAGGAAGATGATGTAAATGAAGATGGGGAGAAAGAAAGAGTCCAGAGGAAATATTGGCAGAACTCAAGGTAGGCAGATAACAGATAAGGATGGAGAAGAAGCTGCAGAGAAACAGGTAACACTGCAAAAAGTTACATGAGCAGTTCCACATTACTGATAAATTTGCAGACTTTTTTGCTGAAGAGGCACCTAACAAAGCTAGAAGCACTGCTCAGAAGTGAAATCCGGAACAGCTGATGATGCCTTACTGTTAGATGTATAAAATACTGCAGGGTAAAACAGATGAAAGGCATATTACAGAGTTCCTTAGCATTCCAGTACATCCACTGATATCAGTACAAGAACCTGAGCCAATGATCCACAATCTTCTGCTTCAGCCTGAAGGGCTACACAATACTTCTCCACTCTTTTCAAAATCATCGACATACACCAGAAATCAGAAATTAAGGCAAGAAATATTATTTATGTAACCTTTGTAGTCATATATTAAACACAGCATATCAATACATCCACCTACAATTACACTAATTTTTTTTTTTTTAAATTTTGAGACCTAAAAAAAATAAATATTTGCTATTTTTTGGTCTGAGGAATGTAGCACTATTTCTCCTCATATGATCTTCAGGTTATTTTAGAAGAATTTTTTATTAGATATAATCTTGCATAAGCTATTGAGCAGGGAGAGGAAAAAAAATATCAAACAAAAAAAACTTAATGTCGTCTCTCATAAATAATGACTTTTATTTATACTTTTTTGCTGATAGTTTATTCCTGGACCAATATGCATTTCCTTAGAACCCTTTTGTCAATAATCTTTTGCATGCCAGCAAGAGCATATATGAATAATAAATTTTAGAATCCATTCTTTCCCTGAAGAGCAAAGATGTATACATGTACAATTTTTGGTCAATTACTGTTATACAGCATAAGTACTTGAAATTGGAATGTATGAGCCGTGTTTGTATCATATCTAAATATAAAGGGATTATGAAGACTTTGAGTTTTGAAAATACAGTATGGACAAAAAAATAAAAAAATTAAAGCTATCAATCAGACTACAATACAATTTTGTATTCAGTTATCTTACAGTACAGTACTTTAAAAAACAAGAATAAACTCACATACCCAAACAATCTAACTTCAATTCCTACATCTGCATGCCAATTAAGCAGTTTAAAAAAGTTCTTCGCTGAATTGCAAATTTCATGACTTGTGGAATTATATTTTTCATGTGTGACAGACAAATGAGGAGTTTAATGCCATGAAAGGATCAAGAAGGACACCAAGATATGTGTTGAGCATGAGAGAGAGAGAAGATTCACCTCAAGCAGCTGAGGTAGACTGGCGGGAGGCAGGTGCAGTCAACCCTGTCATTGATCAAGGCCAACTAGGTGCAAGCTGGACTTTTTCTGCAGTGAGTATTTTTTTTTTTTCAATATCAGTTATTTTTCACTAAGACAGGGTGACCCAAACAAAGAAACCCTTATCATAATTCAGTCAAAATCTTCACACAAATAACCTGCACATAAGAGAATGAAACTTATGGCAACATTTCGGTCAGACTTAAGATAGTTAACTAATTTTTTTAATTCAACAAGTTGGCTGTCTCCCACTGAGGCAGGGTGACCCAAAAAGAAAGAAAATCCTCAAAAAGAAAATACTTTCATCATCATTCAACATTTTCACCTCACTCATACATAATCACTGTCTTTGCAGAGGTGCTCAGATACGACAGTTTAGAAGTCCCTCCAAACTGTCAACATCCCAGACCCCTCCCTTAAAATGCAGGCATTATATTTCCCATTTCCAGGACTCAAGCCTGGCTAAATTTATAATAACCAGTTTCCCTGAATCCCTTCACTAAATAGTACCTTGCTTACACTCCAACAGCTCGTCAAGTCCCAAAAACCATTCAACTCCATTTACTCCTAACACACTCGCACACAAGTGCTGGAAGTCCAAGCCCCTTGCCCACAAAACCTCCTTTACCCCCTCCCTCCAACCTTTACGAGGACGACCTCTACCCCTCCTTCCTTCCCGTACAGATTTATACACTCTCCAAGTCATTCTACTTTGATCCATTCTCTCTAAATGACCAAACCACCTCAACAAACCCACTTCAGCCCTCTGACTAATATTTTATTAACTCCACACCTCCTCCTAATTTACACGCTCCGAATTCTCTGCATAATATTTACATCACACGTTGCCCTTAGACAGGACATTTCCACTGCCTCCAGCCGCCTCCTTGCAGCAGCATTTGCAACCCAAGCTTCACACCCATATAAATGTGTTGGTACCACTATACTTTTATACATTCCTTTCTTTACCTCCATAGATAACATTTTTGGTCTCCACAGATACCACACCACTAATCTTTTTCCCTTCATCAATTCTATGGTTAACCTCATCCTTCATAAACCCCTCCACTGACAAGTCAACTTCCAAATATCTGAAAACATTCACTTCTTCCATACTCCCTCTCTCCAATGTGATATCCAATTTTTCTTAATCTAAATCGTTTGATACCCTCATCACCTTATTCTTATCTATGTTCACTTTCAACTTTCTACCTCTACACACCCTCCCAAACTTGTCCACTAACCTTTGCAATTTTAGAATCTCCCATAAGCACAGTATCATCAGCAAAAAGTAACTGTGTCAACTCGCATTTTGTATTTGATTCCCCATAATTTAATCCCACTCCTCCCCCCAACACCCTAGAATTTAATTCTTTTACAACCACATCTATAAATATATTAAACAACCATGGTGACATTACACATCCCTGTCTAAGACCTACTTTTACCAGGAAGTAGTCTCCCTCTCTTCTATACACCCTGAGCCACACTATCCTCATAAAAACTCTTTACAGCATTTAGTAACTAACTACCTATTCCATACACTTGCAACATCTGCCACACTGTTTCCCTATCCACTCAACATATGCCTTTTCTAAATCTATTAATGCAATGGAAACTTCCCTACCTTTATCTAAATACTGTTCACATATATGCTTCAATGTAAACACTTGATCTACACACTCCCTACCCACTCTAAAGCCTCCTTGCTCATCTGCAATCCTACTCTCTGTCTTACCTCTAATTCTTTCAATAATAACCCTACCATACACTTTACCTGGTATACTTAGTAAACTTATTCCCCTATATTTTTTACAGTCTCTTTTGTCCCCCTTCCCTTTATATAAATAAACTATACATGCTCTCTGCCAATCCCTAGGTACCTTCCCCTCTTTCATACAGTTATAGAACAAAAATACCAACCATTCCAACACAATATCATCCCCTGCTTTTATCATTTCTGTCATGATCCCATCAGTTGGCCTTTTCCTTTTAAATGCTTACAGGTATCTGTAAATATATTTTTGTGTATAGGTTCTGATGAATCACTAGAAATTCACACTTCTCAGAATTACCCCTCTACTGCACCAGTAATGAGAACTCTCTACCATTTTAGCTCATGCCTTCTGCCTTAAATTTCTGATTGAGATTTAAGAGAAGAAAATGCTCTGGTGTTAGCCAGAGGTGTGGAATTAAGAGATAAAGAATATAATCAAAATGGGAGTTGTCACTGTTATTTTTTGCTGATGACACTGCGCTTTTGGGAGATTCTGAAGAGAAGTTGCAGAGGTTGCTGGACGAGTATGGAAGGGTATGTAAAAGATGGAAATTAAAAGTGAACATAATAATGAGTAAAATGATAAGGATGAAAAATTTAGATAATTAAAGACTGAATATCAGATTGGAGGGAGTGAGTATGGATGAAGTAAATGTATTCAGATATCTGGGAGTGGAATTGTCAGCAGATGGGTCTATGAAAAACAAGGCAAATCATAGACTGATGAGACTAAAAAGGTGAGTGATGTACTGAGCAGTCTGTGGAGACAAAGAACGTTAGCCATGGAAGCAAATAAGGAAATGTATGAGAGTATAGTGGTACCAATGTTTTTATATGGGTGTGAAGCATGGGTGATGAATGTTGCAACAAGGAGAAGACTGGAAGCAATGAAGATGTCATGTCTGAGGGAAATGTGGTGTGAATATTATGCAGAGAATCTGTAGCTTGGAGATTAGGAGGGGTGCAGGGGTTCTAAAAGTTTTACCCAAAGGCCCAAGGAGGGGTTGTTGAGGTGATTCAGACATTTAGAGAGACTGGAACAAAATAAAATGACATTGAGGGAGTATAAATCTGTACTGGAAGGAAGGCGGGGTAGAGGATCATTCTAGGAAGGTTGGAGGGAGGAGGTAATGGAGGTTTTATGTGGGAGTTTTGTGTGACTTCCAAGGCATCTCAGGCCAATCTTGCCAAATTTGAAGGCAGGAAAAATAAAACGTATGTATACGTTTGGGGCGCTACACATAAGAATGTATATATACGTTTGGACCGTTTAACCTTAAACGGTCCAAATGTACATATACGTTCTTACGCGTAGCACCCCAAACGTATATATGTTTTATTTTTCCTGCCTTCAAATTTGGCACGATTGGCCTGAGATGCCTTGTCAGCATAGAATGGGTCCTAACACTCAGTGTGCACGGTATTAAAAAAATCTGGGACCACTTAGTACCTTCTGGGAGCGCCAGTTAAATTGAGCGCCAGCTACAGCAAACAGTGCAGCAAACACCAAGGATTCACTGATGTAATGTCATATTAACACTCCTCGTTTAACCCTTTGACTGTTTCAGGCCCCTCTCTGAAACTGTCATTCTATGTCGCCAAATATTCAAAAAAAAAAAAAATTATTTTTTCTTATGAAAATGTTAAGATTATTTTTCCGAGTGTTTTAGTCCCAAAAAAAAATTTTTGCCATCGGTACTTACCGAGATATAGAGCCGTGAAGTTTGCAGAAAATGAGCCGCGTATGGCAACAGCGGCGACTGCCGCTCACCCGGTAAACTTTAGTTTACTTGTAATTGAAGGTTTTTTGTTTTTTCACTATTTTATTTTTTCACATAACTTATGTGGCCTATGAGACCAAAGTAAGGTGCAATGTATATATATACACTCGTTGTATACAACACAATAAGCACACAAACATAATTATCAATATATTGTTTACAAAACTTGTTTACAAAAACAAACAAACAATCATCATCATCCTCATCATCATCCTCATCCTCATCATCCTCATCCTCATCATCCTCATCCTCATCATCATCATCCTCATCCTCATCATCCTCATCTCCTCCATCCCTCCTCTTCTCTCCTCTCCTCTCTCCTCTCTCCTCTCCTCCTCCTCTTCTCCTCCTCCTCTTCCTCCTCCTCTTCCTCCTCCTCCTCTTCTTTTCCTCTCCTTCCTCTTCCTCTTCCTCCTCCTCTCCTCTTCCTCTTCCTCTTCCTCTTCCTCTTCCTCTTCCTCCTCTTCCTCTTCCTCCTCTTCCTCTTCCTCCTCTTCCTCTTCCTCCTCTTCCTCTTCCTCCTCTTCCTCTTCCTCCTCTTCCTCTTCCTCCTCCTCCTCCTTGTCTTGTGTGCGAGTGTGTGGCTTATAATTGTTTTGAGTCAGAAGTCGGCAGATGTCAAAGTGACATATTGTCTCATTAGTCATTACCCCTACCGCCTGTCAAAACAATGGGGTCGGATGCTGCTTCCCCTCCTCCATTCTATCTAATTATCTTTCTCCCTCATTCTATATCTTTCAATCTGTCTCTCTTTCTATCTGTCTGCCTATCTCTGTCTCACAGGTACACATAAATACAAGTATACATAGTGTAAATTACCTAGGATAACCCAAGAAATCCAGACAAAGTGCTATACTCTGCTTGAAGATGTGAGTAAACGTGATGACACAGTCTTGTGGCTCTCTCTGAGACAGAGAGCTAGATGGACAGACAGGGAGCTTGACAGACAGACAAATAGACAGACAGACAAATGTTTGTGTACCAGCAAAAAACAAAGGGAGGGCGATGGTCATGTAATATTACCCTCCTTACGCTCATCAAAGTCAGCTCTTATCAGATGTTATCTCCCCTTATCTTGTCACTGTCATGGGGTGGACTTTTTTTTTCTTGCTTCAAGGGAACAATATTATTACATCTTCTTCTTCCTCTCCTCCTCCTCCTCTTCCTCCTCCTCCTCCTCCTCTTCCTTCCCTCCTCCTCCTCCTCCTCTTCCTCCCCTCCTCCCCCTCCTCCTCCTCCATTGCTTTTGGTCTCAAACTCCTCCAAATCATGAAATTGATCTTCACTGACACTTCCATCTGTGTTAGAGCATCACTTGGGAAGAGAAGAGTCCCAGATTTGCTGGGGAATCACATATTTCTTACCGCTAGACATGCTGAAAAAGGACAACTGAAATGGCATTCCCACAATGCACCACTGGCTCCCCGATTTTTTTTATATGGTGCACACTGACCATGGAGACCCATTCTCTCACATGTGGGCCTACCAGCTTTCT